ATATTTCGTCTTCCCACCAACTCCTTCCTCGCGCCCAAGTGCAATCTCGAACTCTGTCCCCACCTCACAAACAGTCTATGTCGATGGTACTAAAATTGGCACTATGTTTTCGATACAGTCGGAATCCAATCCACAATTTCAGGTTCCGCCAACTAGCCACCTGAGTTTCGCTCTGATTAACCATAGTAACTCAAGTTGTTAATACTCATTGGCCTTGGCTATAATAATGCCTCATCACGCCATTCTGTGAGAATCTCGCCGACTTCAGAGAGAAACACTCTGTCGCTCTGTCGTTAGATCGCGCTATGTCACATCGTACGCCATCCCTAATGCGATGTCTAACCAACCTGCCATCGATGTTTACATTCCTGTGTTTCGGGACTACACACTTCTCAGCGAACAAGTCTTTTGTACGGTCTTTGCAATTGTCCTGATCACAGTCCTGCAATGTCCGAGTAACATCTACTTTGTTAATCTCAAAGTCAGACCATCGACAATTTACATTGTAATCATTGACGACTCTTGAACGCCATCGGCCAACCAATCGGTCACTGATTTGACCGCGGAAACTAGGATTTTCGGGGAATTCTGTATTTGATATGTGTTTAAATTCTTCATCGCTCTCGTCGAACTGCTCTAGTTCAAATAGCTTTGGCCGTGCAATTTGCTCAAGATGCAACCCAAATGATACACTTAACTCGAAAGGAAATGAATTAAGATTATCCTCGGGGTCGAATTCCAATCCATAATTCCCACACAAAAGCATCGGGATTGATGATTGGTGTACCACTTCTTCATACTGTGATGTAAACAGTTTTCGAAGTCCCTTAAGGGCCCATTCGCAACGAAATGCTTCTGTCCGAGAATCAAGGACTGGAGACAACCAAGCTATCCTCCCTAAATTACGGCGGTTATTGTTTTCCCAGTTTTCCAAATATTCTTCATAAGTAGTAATGTCTTGCTCATATCTGTGCATAGATGCATTATAGTAAAGTCTTTCGTCGTCGATGTCGTGTTCGGCCATGTAGCCATGTAAACGTTTACCCGGTCGCTCTCCAATTCACGAGCTAAACGTTCGTCATGTTCAAATTGTCGTTTTGTCGGATTGTAAGTGTGACCGATGTATCTCTCCTGATCGGCGAGTTGGTATACGAAATATCCGCCCTCGCGTCTCCCATCCAGACGGACCCACCTATCTCTCCTACTACCCCTTTCGACAATGAATCCCCTTACATCCTTATCATCAAGCCAGTCCCTACAATCATCACACATGTCTTGGTCGTAAAGTTTCTCCCTCGTTCTCCACAGTCTGGATCAGGGCATTCGAGAGAACAATCGCCGCATGAGACTGTACCTTCCTCTTTTGTCCCGCCGCAGACCAGGCAAATCCTCAAACGGAAGGGGTCGACCAGCGTTAGAAAACTTTGACGGGCCGCTTCGTTCATTTCTTTTGCGGAATTCTCACTAAGATCGTCGCCTGCCCATTGCCTTAGGCGACGGCAGACTGCTACCCATATCAATGACTCCAAAAAAACAGACCTGAAATTGAGCTCCTGGCAAAACATTCACGGAGGAGCAATTTCAACCAGTTTCCAATTGAATTGAAAACTCAGAAATCTGGGTGCGGAGGGCTCCGGTGGCGGGGAAGTCGATTGCGCCTGTTTCGTCGAAGACTACGCCGTATTCTTTGCGGGCGTATTCGGGGGTTAGTTTTTGTTGGTGGTGATGAGGGTACCTATTCTAGGAGGTTGGGTTTGGGGAACGGTGGTTGAGGGGGTATGCAGTAGGTCGACACAAAGGAATAAAAAGGGAGTGTGGTAAGGCGCTGTGAGGGTCATCAGGTGCTTGCCTGGGAGTTCCTGTTCGTCGGGGGTGCCTGGGTTGAGGGTGTTCTGGGTGGGGGTGCCGTCCTTGCCTCCCTCTACTCCCCAGGGGCGGAAGTTGGTGCGGTCGGAGCGTAGCTGGAAGGTGGCCTCGTCGGCCAGCAGGCGGAACTCGCGGACTATGCCGAGTCCGCCGCGGTACTCGCCAGCGCCACCGGTGTCGGGGACGAGGCCGTAGCGCTCGACGAGCAGGGGCTGGTCGGCCTCGATGCTCTCGATGGGGGTGTTGGCCATGTTCAGGACGGGCGAGGCCATGCCGTCGGCTCCGTCGATGCTGGGGCCGCCGCCGCGGGGGCCGTCGTTGTTGAACTCGAGGTAGACCCAGGCCTTGCGGTTGGGGTGGTAGCCTCCGAAGCTGAGGCCGATCTCGCCGCCGCCCCAGGCCGCCGGGACGCGGCCGGCAGTGCCTGGGCCATGGCGCCGAACATGGCGTGGCAGATGCGGAAGCCGGCGAGGCCGCGGGCGGCCACGGGGGCCGGGTGCTGAGGGTTGACGAAGCAGCCCTCGGGCGCGGTGATGTTGAAGGGGCGGAAAAAGCCGCTGTTGGACTGGATGGCCGGGTCAATGAGGCACTTCATTGCGGCGTAGACGTTGGACTTGGTGTAGGCGAAGTTGGGGTTGATGCTGCCCTTGGCCTGGGGCGAAGTGCCGTCGAAGTCGACGAAGACCTCATCGCCATCGATGCGAACTTTGACGTGGATGTCGATGGACTGGGGGTCGATGCCGTCGTTGTCGATGTGGTCGACGAAGCTCCACTCGCCCTGGGGCAAGGAGGAGATCTCGGCGCGCGTGAGGGCCTCGGTGGTGTCGAGGATGTCGGCCATGTAGCTCTTCATCTCTTCGAGGCCGTAATCGTCGACGAGGCGGAGCAGGTCGCGCTCGCCGAAGCGGACGGCGGCGAGAGGGCCTGGACGTCGCCGAGGACCTTGTCGGGGACGCGAACGTTCTTTTCGAGGATGCGCCAGACGGCCTTGTTGAGCTCGCCCTCCTCGTAGAGCTTGAGGGGCGGGAGGATCAGGCCCTCCTGGAAGATCTCGGTGTTGTCGCAGGCGTTGCCGCCGGCGACGCGTCCTCCGATGTCGGTCTGATGTGCCCGATGCAACAGCTCCAGCCGATCAGCACGTCGTTCACGAAAGATGGGCTTGAACAAGAAGATGTCGGGCAGGTGGCTGGCACCCTCGTAGGGGTCGTTGTTGGCGAAGATGTCGCCGGGGAGGACGTCGTCGCCGAAGGCGTTCATCACTCCCTCGAGGGCGGGGGCCATGCTGCCGAGATGCGGCGGCAGGGTGAGGCCCTGGGCGACCTGCTGGCCCTCGGCGTTGAACAGGGAGGTGGAGAAGTCCATGCCGTGCTTGATAACGGCCGAGCGGGCGGTGCGAACCACGGTGAGGGCCATGGTGTCGGCGGCGCTCATGAGGGCGTTCTTGATGATCTCGCGGGTTACGGGATCGGTGGTCTGGAGCATGGGGGTCTCCTCTTCGACGGGGCGTCACAGATAGGAGCGGGTTGGGGGCATAGTGCCACAGGGGGGATGGGGGTGCAAGGTGGGGGAGGTGGGCTGTGGAGTGATAATGCGAGGCCGTGCCTGGAATCCCTTGTTCAGTCAGTGGGATTACTACAAACTGCAGTTTCAGATCCCTCGAACTTGAGTCCGCAGATGAGAAACACTAATATTATAACAGGTGGTTTGTGCGTCGGACCTTGTGATTGTTGTCCGGTTGAGGAGCTTGAAATTTGTTCTATCATGTGAGCATTACACCTAGAACTCTAGGGGTCAACGGAAGGCGCCTCGAAAATGAGTTGGATCTAAATGCAGATGCTCTCAATGATCGCTTTCTAGAGCCATATCGTGCAGGCAGGCCGATCATAATCAATGGGCGCACCGTGACAATGACCGATCTTGAACGCATCAAAGTATATGAATCTCAAGGGAAAATGAGTGGTCTTGGTAGAACTCCATGGGCATCCATGGAAGATGTCACAAGTCAATACATCACTGGTGAGCCAGGTAATCTAGAAGATACTGCCCATCCAAGGCACGAACGACGACCAGAAGCTAATGCGCGGGAAGTATTCGTCGTTCATGGAAGAAACAATCGTGCCCGCGATGCTCTCTTTCAGTTTCTAAGCGCAATTGGACTTTTCCCTTTGGAATGGGCTGAAGCTGTCAGCAGCACAGGAAGGACTTCGCCTTATATTGGAGATATCCTGACGCCGCATTCTCACGTGCCCACGCCATTGTGGTCTTGTTTACTCCTGATGACGAGGCCCGGTTAAAAGAAGAATTCCAAAACGAAAGCGACCCGCCGCATGAAACAGAATTGACGGGGCAAGCGCGTCAAAACGTGTTATTTGAGGCCGGTATGGCCTTGGGACAGTCGGAAGATCGAACGATTTTAGTGGAACTAGGCAGGCTCAGGCCGTTCAGTGACATTGCTGGCCGCCACGTCATTAGACTTGATGATTCCACTCAGCGTAGGCAAGAATTGGCGCAGCGGCTAAGTATCGCCGGATGTCCGGTGAGGTTGGAGGGAACTTACTGGCACAGCGCAGGCGAATTCGAGTTGGAAGCTATTTCTGAAATCAGTGAGGCGCTATCCGAACTAGAGACCACTGTCGAGACGGGACGGGCCGACAACTACTCATTGGCGATATCCGAAGAGGCAAAGGAGCTACTGTTGGAGGTCGCCAAAGACGCGGAAAAGAAGAATGGCGCTGTCACAAAGGCCAAGACTTTGGGCGGCACGTTTATTCAGACAAATGGCAGGAATTTTACGGACGCCCGAGATCGCAGGTCAGTAGCCAAATGGGAATCAGCGATACAAGAACTCGCCTTTGGTTTCCTAGTAGATGCCACTGGAAATGACAGCGTTTTTCAAATTACCAACCAAGGGTTTGAAGCGGTAGATAATTTTTGATTCTTTCGCCAATGTTCAATCAATTGCCGATCGACATTCGGATTTTCCCGAGTCAACATTCATTGGCCAGTTAGTCAGTGTCGGGGGATTGGCCGGGGCGGGTGAAGGTTAGGACGGCGAGCGAGAGGACGGGCAGGGCCATCATGGCGAGCATTCCCAGGGTGTAGGTTCCGGTGAGGTCCTAGAGGACTGCGAGGGGCAGGGACCTGACGGCGGAGGCGCATACCGAGAGGGTCATCGCTGGCCCCTGCACGCAGCCCAATCCGTGACGTCCATAGTAGTTGGCCCAGATCGGGCTTTTGAAGATCGCAGTAGCCCTGCCCGAAGTTTAATAGTTGCCTTGAAAGGTAGGGTCAGCTCTTGCCTGGGAATAGGGTTTTTGAGAAGGCCCAGAGGGGGGAGAGGGACAGAGGGGCCCGGCGCCGAGGCCGGACTGGTCCTTCCTGTCCCGTGTCCGCCAGCCCGAGAGATGGGGCCGCTTGGGGCACGCCTTCGCCGCCGCCTATCCGATAAACGTCCACGAGCAATCTTCCTCCAACCACGAAGAGCATGTATACAAAGAGACACATGGCGTGCCACAGGTATCCCATATTCACGAGTCGCAAGGCCGCATCCCTGGAATAGCCCAACTCGTCAAAGTTTATTTCCCAGGACGCCAACAAGTTATGGTCGGGCAAAATGCTGGGTATATCGGGAGAGGCATAAACGAACAGGATGGTGAACAACCCGGCAGCGCCGGTAACCAGTGCAGCAGCCACCAAGGTTGGGAACAGAACCCTCTGATCACGCTCTCCAGGTTTCAAAGCAGGATCCCGAATGAGCAAGAAGGATGCAAATACGGCCGCCAAGGCCGCGAACAGGACGGCGAACTGTATGGTGACCGCCAAGTTAGTAAAGACCACCGCCACACCGAAAACGAGAACCGCGGGCAGAAGCGCCACCCAAGCCGCCCTCTGAAAGGCCTCCCTCCTGGGTCCCACACGGCTATATCGCCACCTCCAAAGGCAATCGAACAACATACCGGCAGTGCAGGCAAGGGCCAGGTTCACCAAAAGCGCCAATACGTAGGGTATCGGAGTCCCCGCGAAGTTTGCCACATTGTAGAAGTTGTAGTGGTCCATCAGGATGGGAGCGAACTGCAGCAGGGGTGTGCTGAGCAAGAAAAATATGGAAATCCAGAAGAATTCCCTCAGCGGGACATCCTTTCCTGGAAAGATGAATCCCTGAGCCAGCACCGCTCCCACGGTAAGGCCGACGTAAACCACGGGCATGTGGGCGTCGCCCCAGTTCCCGAAAGACAGGGCAGAACCCAGGGCCACGATCAAAACGGAGAGGGGCAGGAATCTCTTCAGCAGAAACAGGCCCATTCCGCGAAGTAACATAGGGCCGGTCCACTCTTCCACCGGGTCGTCAGGGGAGGACTCCCAATCACTCCATTCCGCCTGATCCTCAGCCAAGTCCCTGTCCGCCACACCTGCCTGGCTGGAGGAGGCGGCGAAGTCTGGTGCGAGGCCGGCCAGGAGTATAAGGCCTGCGACTTCGGTCTCCGACAGGTTGACAGCCCTTCCGAAGACGGTGAGTCGTTCGATGGTGGGGCGAGTCCGACCCGATTCCCAGCGGGAAACGGTTGCGTGGCTGTACCTCTGGGCGTAGATGTCGTCCGATTCGCTCATCCTCGTCAGCAGTTCTTCCTGGGTGAGTCCTCTTCGGCCATCCTCTCGGATGAAGGACTCCCTGTACGAACGCATGACGAACCCGACCTGACCCGCCCTGATCCTTTGCATTTCACGTTCAGGAGTCATATATCACGCAAAATTCTCTACGGAAAGGTCGAAGTCTTCTGAGTAAACTAGTATTGGGGAGGAACGACCGGATTAATAGTGTCGACTGAATTAACTATAAATCATTCAAAGGCACACTCACAATGTCCAAGAATAATAGAGAAAGTAACAAGGGGACTTCTATTATTATTAATGTGTTCAGATAGTACCAATAAGATTTCTCTATTAGTATGAATACTGAAATTTCTCCGGGCCACTTCTTTATAAATACATCGATTAAACCAAGTTATTTCTACATGTCATTTCAGTCTGCTTGAACCTCCAGGCGCTTCAAGGACAGCTCAATTGTTGTGACTAAGATCATCACATGGCCGAAGGGCAGACAGGAGATGGTCCTCTGGGCAGCAGCGCGGGCGACGCTTGCTGAGGGGATTATGTCTGGCGGCAGTGATACAATCGGGGCGAAAATTCCATCTCGATTTGAGGGTTACGAATGAGCATTGACGTAGCAACGGCCATCGCCCGGATACTGAAACAGGAGGGCATCGAGTGGGTGTCCACCTTCCCGGTGTGCCGGGTGAACAACGCACTGGGCCGCGAGGGCGTGCCGATGATCATGATGCGCGACGACCGGTATGCCGTAGCGCTGGCCGACGCGTACTCGCGGGTGACCGCGGGGGAGCGCATCGGAGTATGCACGGTGCAGGGCGGCGTGAACGGCGCGGGCCTGCAGTACTCGTATCCGGGGCTGGCGCAGGCCTTCGAGGACAACTCGCCGATGCTTTGCATCACCGACGGCATACCAGCGGGTAGCTCGGAGAACACACTGTTTGACGTTACCACCTCACTGAAGACGGTATCGAAGTGGTTCGGGTACATCGACCGGCCGGAGCGTGTGCCGGAGTTCATGCGACGGGCGTTCTCCATGCTTCGCAGCGGACGGCCCGGTCCGGTGGTGCTGGCGGTGCCGAACGCGACGGCGACGTTTGACGAGACTGCCGACCCCTACTTCCCGCCGAAGGGTTACAAGGCTGGGCCGAACCCCGAAGACGTGAACACGGCGGTAGACCTGCTGCTGAACGCCAAGAACCCGCTGATCTACGCGGGCGAGGGCGTGATCTATGCCGGGGCGTCGGCGGAGCTGAAGGACCTGGCTGAGCTGGCCAATACACCGGTCATCACGACGCTGAAGGCCAAGGGCGCCTTCCCGGAGAACCACCCGCTGTTCGTCGGCGTGCGGGGCGACCACCCTGCCGAGTTCCTGGAGAAGAGCGACGTGATCCTGGCGGTGGGCTCCAGCCTGTCGCCTGGGCGATTCACCCACGGCATCCCCAATGCCGCCAACAAGACCATCATCCAGTGCAACCTGGACGAACTCCACATCAACCGCATCTACCCAACCCATCACGCGGTGCTGGGGGACGCCAAGTTCACTCTGCGAGCGCTGGCCGACGGGGTTGCGGAGCGCACGGGCGGTGCTGCCCGGAACGGCGACGAGGTGGCGGCGGCTGTGAAGGCGTCGCGGGACGCCGGGCTGGCGCAGTACCGGGAGGTGATGGTGTCCGACGACACACCGATCAACCCCTACCGGTTGTTCGGCGACATGATGAAGGCGCTGGACCCGATGAAATCGTTCGTGACCCACGATTCGGGGAACACGCGGGACCAGCTGAGCACGGTGTACGACACCCTGATCCCCCGGGGATTCCTGGGCTGGGGAAACATCTCGACCCTGGGCTTTGGCCTGGCCGGGGCCATGGCGGCGCGGCTGGCGTTCCCGGACCGGCACTGCGTGGCGGTTACGGGCGACGCGGGCGTCGGATACATGCTGGGCAACCTGGAGGTGCCGGTGCGCCAAGGGATCGGCGTTACGGTGGCGCACGTGAGCAACGGCGGATTCGCCGGGTACGGCCCAGGGTTCTGGGGCGAAGGCCATGACCCGTTCACCCACCGCGTAATGGGCCACGAGGACGTGGACATGTCGCGGGTGGCCGCGGAACTGGGCATGCACGCTGAGCGGGTGTCGGACCCTGCCGACATCGTTGCTGCCTTCAAGCGGGCGAAAGACGCCAACGACGCGGGGCGGCCGGCATACATCGAGTTCATCTGCAGCCAGTACCCGGTCTACGGGAGATGGGTGTCGAGTTCGATCGCACACTAGTAGCCGGGCATCGTTGAACTGATGGGTAATGGGGTACCATAAGGCCGGTGGCTAAGGGGAAGTTTGGGACGTGGGGTGTGGATGATGGTGAAGAGGTACAGGGTAGGGCTGGCGGAGGAGGAGCAACAGGAGCTGATGGCGCTGGTGTCCAAGGGACGGGCGGCAGCCTATAAGCAGACCCATGCCCGCATCCTGCTGCTTTGTGACGAAAATCAGGCTGACGGCGGCATGAGGGACGAGGAGATTGCTCAGGCCCTGAAGGTGGGCACCGCCACGGTGGAGCGGGTGCGCCGCCGTTGCGTTGAGGAGGGTCTGGAGGCAGCCTTGGGGCGCAGGCAACAGCTCAACCGGCGGCGGCGGAAGCTGGACGGTGAGGGGGAGGCTCACCTGATTGCCTTGACCTGTTCCCAACCGCCGGAGGGCCGTGCCGGCTGGACCCTGCAACTGCTTGGCGGATCAACTGGTTGAATGCGAGATAGTGGACAGCATCAGCACCGAAACGGTGCGCCAGACGCTGAAAAAAACGAACTCAAGCCTTGGTTGAAAGAATGCTGGTGCATCCCGCCGAATGGCAGTGCTGAGTTTGTCTGCGCCATGGAGGATGTGCTGGAGGTCTATCACCGCCAATACCGGGACAACGAGGGTCCTGGTGTGCTTGGACGAGACCAGTAAACAGCAGGTGAAGGAGACCCGGCTGGGCCGTCCACCCCGCCCCGGAGCGGCAGCTTCTTATGACTATGAATACGAACGCAACGGTGTGAGCAACCTTTTCATGCTGTTCGCGCCCTTGGAGGGATGGCGGCGGGTGGAGGTTACAGAGCGCCGCACCCGGAGAGATTGGGCCGATGTGGTGCGGAAACTGGTGGACGAGGACTATGCTGACAAGGAGCGGATAGTGCTGGTGATGGACAACCTGAATACGCATCATCCGTCATCACTGTACGAGGCCTTTGAGCCGGCGGAGGCGCGGCGCATCGCGGAGCGGCTGGAGATACATTACACACCCAAGCACGGCAGTTGGCTGAACATGGCAGAGATCGAGATCGGCGTGATGGCCCGGCAATGCCTCGACCGCCGCATCCCGGACCGGAGCGTCCTGCGGAGGGAGGCAGCAGCGTGGCAGGCTCAGCGCAACCGGGACGGCATACGAGTGAACTGGCGCTTCACCACCGAGGATGCCCGAATCAGACTAAAGTCCCTATACCCATCAATACAACACTGACGTAACACTAGGGGTCCAGCCTGGGGTGAAGCGAGGACTTTGCCTCACCCCAGCCACTTCCCTTCAGGAAGAGGGAGTTTGAGGTACTGGGGAGTTGCGGGGATTGAGATTTCACCTGCAGCCTTCCCCTGAGGGGGAGGCTGCAGGAAACGATTTAGGAGGCCGATATGGCTGACCTGAACCCGGAACAGTGGAGCCATCGCACGGCGCGTATCAACGGGATCAACATTCACTATGTGCTGGAGGGGGAAGGCGATCCGGTGCTGTTCCTGCACGGGTGGCCGGAGTTCTGGTACGGGTGGCGGAACCAGATCAACGCGTTCTCGGGACAGTACCAGGTGATCGTGCCCGACATGCGCGGGTTCGGCCACTCGGACAAGCCGTTAAACGGATACGACACGAAGACTTCGGCGTCTGACATGTACGAGCTGGTGCGTTCTCTGGGGCACGAGAGCGTCAACATCGTGTCGCATGACATCGGTGCGCGGGTCGGGTTCCGATTTGCACTGGACCACGAGGAGGCGGTGCGGAAAATCGCGTTCCTCGACGCCACGCCGCCGTACGAGCAGCTTGGTCCGCAGGTACCGTCGGTGGTACGGGAGCGGTGGCACTCGTATTTTCACCAGCAGTTCGACCTGCCTGAGAAGCTGCTGGACGGCCGCGAGGAGATCTACCTGCGCCACATCCTGAGGGACTGGTGCATCAACAAGTACCCGCTCACGCAGGAAGTGATCGACGAGTACGTCAAGGTGTACTCGGCTCCGGGCGGGCTTTCGCGGCGGGTTTAACTACTACCGTGCCGCTGCCTACCTGGACCCGGCGGACTGGCGGGCCGACGAGGGGCGCACGCTGTCGGTGCCGGGGCTGTTCCTTTACGGCACGCGACGGGTGCGGACAGCCGAGGAGATGGGAGCGGGACCGCTGGAGGACGCGTGGCGCGGGGTGATCCCGGGCGTACAGTCCAAGCACCTGGGGGACTACGGCCATTTCCTTCAGTGGGAGTGCCCGGAGGACGTGAACCGGGAGATCGCGGCGTTCTTGGCTGGCTGACCATTTGTCCCCTCATATTATCCCTCTCCTTCTGAGAGAGTTAGTGTGAGGGCGTATTCTCTCGACCATAATCATGACTACCGGAGGAACCCGAATGGCAACGTCGGAGGAACTTGCCGCGCTGGTGAGCTCGGAATCAGCGCGCCTGTTGGAGTATTTCAAGGGCCTGACGCCGTCGGACTGGGAGGCGCAGAGCGCGTGCGACGCGTGGAACAGCGCCGACGTGGTGGCGCACATGACCATGGCCGTAGATATGTTTTCGGCCAACATCGAGCGGGGCGCCAATGGCGACTCCTCGCCGCCGGAGGGGATGGGCCCGCCCGAGGAGTTTGACCTGTCAGGCCGGATGGCGGCCAACGCGGCGCGGGCAGTAGCGATGCGGGAGAGCCTGGGAGACACGCTGGTGGAAGCATTCGCTCAGAACTGCGACCGACTGGACGCGCTGCTGGGCCGGATGGGGCCGAACGACTGGGAAAAGCAGTGCTATCACCCCGCGGCCTACCTCAGTGTCAGGCGGTACCTGATTCTACGTCTGGCGGAGATGACGGTGCACGAGTGGGATATCCGGTCCAGGCTGGAAGGGTCGGCGAAGCTGCCGGACGCCGTGACGCCAGCGCTGATGGAGCTCTTGCCGGGGTTCGTTGTTGGCAGGTTTTTCCTGCCGGGGTCGGACATCGCCACACCTTCGCGATTCCGGTTCAGCCTGACGGATGGCGGGAGCCACGACATAGTCGCGGGCGGGGGCGAGTTGCGGATGGAGGCGAGCACTGGAGACGCGGCTGACGTTACCTTCACGTGCAGCGCTTCGACGTTTGCGCTGCTGGCCTACGGGCGCTTCACGTTGGAGGCGGCGGTGACTGCAGGGGACATTGCGATCGAAGGGGACCGGGCTCTGGCGGCACAGTTCTAAAGAGAAAGACTTGCCGGCGGTGGCTATTCCTTGGCACTGATCTCCGACCAGGATACCGTTACCCATATATAAGGTATCGGTATCCCGGTGGCGACCTTGCCGAATAACCTAATATGTGGACAGAATCCAGATTTATTGAATAGGAGAACGAGCGATGAAATTGTTGGTAATTTCCGGGGGCAGGCACCCCTACGAGGAATCAACGCCGGTACTGGAGGGCTTCCTGAAGGGCGCCGGCCACGAGGTAACGATAACGGAGGACGCTTCGATTCTGGCCGACGCGTCGGGAATGAGCGCCTTCGACGCGCTGGTGTTCAACACGCGCCGCGAGAACGTGCCCGACTTCGGCGACTGGGAACTGCAGACCTCGCAAAAAGAAGGGCTGAAGAGCTACGTGGAGTCCGGCAAGGGATTCGTGTGCATTCATATTTCGTGCTGTGTCCCGAAAGGGTGGTCTGAGTTCGACGAGGTCACCGGCGGCGGTTGGGTCACGGGCACCAGCTACCACCCTCCTTACGGTGAGATGAAGGTCAACATCAGCAACGCGGCTCACGCTGGCGTTGCGGGCGTTTCTGACTTTGTCACGACGGACGAGCTGTATATGAACACCACCTTCAGAGAGGGCAACGATGTCTTCCTGACCGGGGATGCCGAGGAAGGGACGTGGCCGTGGGGCCCGGATCGGGCGCCGACGTTAATGCCGGGCGGGACCTATCCGCTGGGGTGGACACGATCGTACGGAGACGGCAAGGTGTTCGTGCTGCTGCTGGGGCACGACGGGAAGAGCTTCGAGACGCCGGGCTTCCAGCAGATCGTGCTGAACGGCGTGTCGTGGGCCGGGGCGTAGCGACTAGGGCATCCGAGTTGGTGAAGGAGCAGGCGGGCGAGTTTCGCTGAGCTGCCTATTCAGTTCGTTCAGCAGGTCTCGTTCCAGAGCGTGTAACCCATTCACGTACAGACGGACGTCTGTCAGTGTTATTGCCTCGGGGGCAGCATCAGTCAGTTCGATGACGGTGCTGCCCCAGATTTTTTCCCTGAGGTCCTGCCAATTGAGCCCTGAGCCCGGTGGGGGAATCCATTTCGCCAACGGCAACCCGGAAGGACTCGATGGCGACCAGCCAGCGGGCTTGCTCGAAGAATACCTCAGTCCAATACTGGTCCTCGCCAACGGATTCGAGCAATGCTGTATGAATGTCGATTCCCCTTGCTGCACCAGAGAGGTCTATCCTCGCCGCCTCTTCGAACAATGCCAGGAGGTGTTCCTCTCCCTGCACCGGTATCAGTTGCCGCACATGGGGGCTTTCCAGCAGGTTCCGGAATCCCTCCAGATTCGATTCACGGGCCAGCTCATGGAGCGCTAGAAACGTGCGCAGGCCGCGGATGCGCTCACGATTCGCGCCCATCACGACCATGACCTCCCTTTCAGGAGGGGATTGTCCCCCGCGCACCGCTGCCTGGAAGAGGGCGACATCCTGCGCGAGGGTGGCGAAGGCAGCATTTTCCAGGCCGACTTCGGAAGCCAGGCGTTGTCTGCCCCTAAAGTACTCACCGAGACCCGACTCATCAGCCGCGGCTCCTTGATCCGGAATACCCAGGCTCAGGGAGAGGTCCCTGAGATAGGTGTTGAACTGTAGCGCGTAAAATGCACTCGCCTCCGACGCGTGCTATCGCTGTATTGCCATCCCAGGAACTGTCCGGGCATTTGGATTGGCCTGAAAACGCCAATACGGCCGCAATTGCCAACAGCAGGCACAGGGGCGAAAGCCAACTGCGTAAGTGCGCAGTGATCAGGCCCGCTCCAGGATAATGTTGCTGGCATCATCGACGGTGGCGGCCCAGGTTGGAGGGACTACGGTGGTGGAGTCGTATTCTTCGATTACCAGCGGGCCGGGTTCCGAGCGACCCTGCAGGCTGGGGCGACTCAGCACGGGCGTGTCGGCCCAGCCGCGGTTGGGGCCGAAATAGACGGGACGGGTCCCCTGTGCTCCGTTGGCGGCATCAGCCAGCTCGAAGCGTTCCGGCATTCGCGGCGCGTCGGGCAGGCCGCGGGCGATGACGCGGATGTTGACCAGCTGGTAGCCCACGTCGGTGCGGTAGCCAAATGACTGTTCATGCTCGGAGTCGAAATTTTCGGCGAGTGCATCGAGGGTTGCCTGGGTGATGGGGCCGGACGGGACGGCAACGGTCAGGTCGGAGACCTGGCCTTCGTATTTCATATCAGCCTGGGTGATGAACTCGTGGCGGGAATCGTCGAAACCCTCGAGGCGGAGCTGTCGCCGGCCCTCCTCCCACATGCCCTCGACCAAGCCGCGAGGGTGGGCAGGTCGATCTCTTCGAAGGTCTTGAAATGGGTCCGGACGAAGTGGTGTTCCACGTCCGCGACCAGCAGGCCGAAGCTGCTGAAGACGCCGGGGAAGGGTGGGACAACCACGCGGGTTATGTCGAGCATCTCAGCGAGACCGGCGGCATGGACCGGGCCTCCGCCACCGAAGCAGATGAGGTCGAAGCGGCGGGGGTCCCGGCCCCGTTCGCTGGAGACGGCCCTGAGGGCACGGCCCATGTTGGAGTTGACCAGCAGGTGGATGCCGTGGGCCGCCTCGACGTCGGACATGTTCAGGGGGCGGGCCACGTTGTCGGTCACGGCTCGTCTCGCCAGCTCGGAGTCTATGGGGAAATCGCCGGCGAGCAGGTGCTGGGGGTTCAGGTAGCCGAGGAGCACGTCAGCGTCGGTTACCGTGGCGTCCTGTCCGCCGAGCTGGTAGCAGGCAGGGCCGGGGAATGCGCCGGAGCTCTGGGGGCCGACGCGGAGGGAGCCGCTGCGGTCGACGGTGGCGATGCTGCCGCCGCCGGCGCCAACCTCAGCGAGGTCGATGGCCGGGACGCGGAGGATATGCCCACTTCCGCGGAGCAGGCGGTGGCCGACGCTGATGTCGCCTCCGACCTCGTATTCCGGGGCCTGGAGCATTTCACCGTTCTCGATGATGGAGGCTTGGCTGTCGTGCCGCCCATGTCGAGGGTCATCGAGGTTGGGCATGTCCAGCCGGCGCCCCAGGTGGAAGGCGCCGACGACTCCTGCGGCCGGGCCGGACTCGATGCAGTAGACCGGGCGCTCCATGGCGATGGCAGAAGTGGCCAGGCCTCCGTTGGACTGCATGACGGCCAGCGGCACGGTGATTCCCATGTCTTCGAGGCCCTGGGTCAGCAGGGTCAGGTAGGTTTCGACCACGGGCCGGACGTAGCTGTTGATCACCGTGGTGCTGGTGCGCTCGTATTCCTTCATCTCAGGCAGGAGGTCTGACGACAGCGTCAGGACAACGTCCGGTGCGCGCTCCCGAACAGCCTGGGCGACGACCTGCTCGTGAGCCGGGTTGGCGTAGGAGTGGAGTAGACAGACTGCCACGGACTCCACGCCGCTGTCGACCACTGCCTGGGCAGCGCGGTCGACGGAATCGGCATCGATGGGGCGCAGGACCTCGCCACGGAAGTTTAGGCGCTCCCCGACCTCCAGCCGGTATTGGCGCTTCACCAGGGTGGGCGACTTTTCGTAGTAGAGATCGTAGAGCCGAGGCGTGCGGTTGCGGCGGAACTCGAGAACGTCGCGGAATCCCTCGGTGGTGATGAGGGCCATGTGGGCCCCCTTTTCCTCGATGATGGCGTTGGTGGCGACCGTGAAACCGTGCCCGACCTCGGTTACCGAGCTCGGCGGGATGTTCAGCTCCTCCATGCCTGCGCGGATGCCGTTGAGGACGGCACGGCTGTAGTCGTCGGGGGTGCTGGCCACCTTGCGGGTCAGAACGCGCCCGTCGCCGCCGAGGAATACGATGTCGGTGAAGGTGCCGCCGATGTCTACGCCGATGCGGAAGTGGGGCATGGTTATCTCGCTTGCGGATTTAAGGGTATCTGGCAGAGGGATATTACCGCATTCTGTCCCGATAGAGATGGGGAAGGCCTTGGATCCCTGCTTTCGCATTTGGCCGGAGAGATTCCGTGGCCGCATAGGGGATGAAATGCAACTATCTTAGGGGGTCGACCTGCGGAGCTGGACGCGATGTTTCCATTAGATCGGGAATGGGACAGGAATTTCCCACTCCTGTCCCATTTTGGCGCAAATTTTTCGTTATTTCCTATCTAATTCGCGCCCGGTGGGACAGAAATTTTTGATTCCCGTCCCATTTTGTCCCACTGGTCTTTCCGGCCTGTCTGCGGATGACCTGCCGGCTGTGTCGTCGGCTTGGAATGCACTGGGGCACTGTAGAAGGCGGAATGCATACGAAGGCATGGTACGGAGCCGTCACAAGGCTTGGCAAGCGGCAAATGTCATCAAATTATCCAAATGCGATGGCCCTGCCCTGGATTCCTGCTCTCGCAAGGATAACGGCGGAGTCTCAGGGCCGAAGCAGGGACTGCCGCTATGCTTCACGGCCCTTGGAATTAATCGGGGACTGCTTGACGATGCTGCTACCCGCCGAGGCATTTGCTGAGCCAGGCGCGGCCGTCGCGGGCTAGGAAGTCGTCGGCAGAGAAGGGGCCCTCGGTGCCGAGGTCGTAGATTTCCGGGGGGCGAGTTGACGGGTCAGACAGGCCCTCAATGAGCGGGTCCATTATGCTCCAGGACTGCTCGATTTCGTCGCTGCGGATGAACAGGGATGCATCGCCGTTCAGGGCGTCGAGCAGGAGGCGCTCGTAGGCGTCTGGGATTTCCTGGCCGCCGAAGGAGTCCTCATAGTGAAACTCCAGATTTACCGGACGTAGGTCGAGCAGGGAATCGGGCGTCTTGGCCTGGAACTCCAGGTGCACGCCCTCGTTGGGCTGCAGGCAGATGGAGAGGGTGTTGGAGGTAATGTCGCCACTGCTGCCCTGGGGGAAGATCAGGTGGGGCGGACGTCGGAACTGGATCAGCACCTCGGTGTGCTTCTCGCTGAGAGCCTTGCCGGAACGGAGGTAGAAGGGGACGCCCTGCCAGCGCCAGTTGTCGATGTCGAGGCGCAGTGCGGCGTAGGTAGGAGTGCGGGAATCGGGCGGGACGCCGGGCTCGTCGAGGTAGCCATCGTACTGGCCGTGAACCGCGCGCAGGGAGGCATCGCGCGCCGGGATGTGGCGGACGGACTCCAGGACCTTGACCTTCTCATTGCGCAGCGTGTCGGCTTCAAAAGTAGAGGGTGGTTCCATGGCGACCACCGCAAGGAGTTGCAGCAGATGGCTCTGAAACATATCGCGCAGCACGCCGGCACGATCGTAGTAGGAGGCCCGCTCCGCGATGGAAACGGACTCGGCCACGGTAATCTGGATGTTATCGATGTAGTTCCGAGACCACAGCGGCTCGAAAATGGCATTGGCGAAGCGGAAGACCAGCAGGTTCTGCACCGTCTCTTTTCCGAGGTAGTGGTCGATTCGGTAGACCTGATGCTCAGCGAAGACCTGGTGGACAGCCTCGTTAAGCTCGTGTGCGGTCTGGAGATTCACTCCGAAGGGCTTTTCGACCACGACACGACGCCAGCAGCCATCCTCTTTCTGGAACCCGGCCCTGCCCAGAGTAGCGACAGTCGGGGCAAACAAGAATGGTGCCAAAGCCAGGTAGTAGAGGCGATTGGCGGGCCTGTCGGGCGATTCGATGTTGGCGAGAACCCTCTGGAGGTCCAAGAGGCCGTCGGGGGCCGTGACGTCGCCATAGCAAGAATGCACCCGGTCGGCCAAATTGTTCCAGAAATCCGGAGAGGGCGGGAAATCCGACTCGTCGCCGAATCCTTCGTAGAAGGAAGCCCGGAATTCATCGGCGGTCATATCGGTACGGGACACGCCGACGATTTGGATATCGGGGCCGAGCCGTCCCTTTGCGTACAGGTCAGCGAGAGCCGGGGCGAGCTTATGGGTGGTCAGATCGCCCGATGCCCCGAAGATTACGATGGTGGTGGTCTGGTCAGGCATGATCCAGCCGCTGGCCTGGCTCTAGTCGCCGCTGCGCCGCACGGCGTGGCCGCCGAACTGCTGCCGCAGAGCAGCCAGCAACCTGGCGCCCAGAGGGCCGTCCTGGCGAGAGCGGAAGCGTTGCTGCAGCGCAGCAGTAATCGCGGGTATCGGAACAGCAAGGTCGACCGATTCCTGGACCGTCCAGCGGCCCTCGCCGGAGTCCTCTACAAAGGCCTGTAAACTCTCCAGACCGGGGTCGTCCTTCAAGGCGGCTGCGGTCAGTTCCAGTAGCCACGAGCGCACCACACTGCCATGGCTCCAGGTCTCGGCGACTGCAGCGAGGTCGAGGTCGAACTCCTCCTTGGCAGCCAATAGCTCGAAACCTTCGGCGTAGGACTGCATCAGGGCGTATTCGACGCCATTGTGCACCATCTTCACGTAGTGGCCGGCGCCACTGGGCCCGAAATGGCAGTAGCCGACGTCCTCGGCGGGAGCCAGGGTACGGAAGGCGGGTTCCATCCGCTTGACCGCGTCTGCGGGACCGCCAACCATCAGGCAGAAGCCGTGGGCCAAGCCCCAGATGCCTCCGCTTATGCCTACGTCGATGTACTCTATGCCACGTCCCGACATCTCGCGAGCGCGACGGATGCTGTCCTTGTAGTTGGCGTTGCCGCCGTCGAGGAGGATGTCGCCCGGGGAGAGCAAGGGCGCAAGGGCGGCGATGGTGTCCTCGGTGGGCTGGCCGATGGGAAGCATCATCCATACGGCGCGCGGGGACGGCAGGCAGCTGACCAGTTCCTCAAGGGAGGTAACGCCCTCGCTGCCGTTCTCTGTGCTGGTTGCCACGGCAGTAGCGTCGAGGTCGTAAGTGACGACACGATGGCCGCCGGCGACAAGCCGCCGCGCCATGTTGGCGCCCATGCGCCCAAGGCCGACCAGTCCCAATTCCAATATGAGCCTCCGGGTTTGTGTTGTCAGGTTCGAATTGTCAGGTTGGAAATTACGGGTTCGAAATGTCGCAGGGATTTGGGGGATGCTAGAGTTCGTTCAAGAGGCGCCGCAGACCGTCGGCAGCATTGTCGCCTAGGTCGACGGAAACCACGCGGCGGCCCAGCTTGGTTAGGGCTTCGAAATCGCCGATGGCCTGGGCGGCGGCCAGCACGTCGAACCCGTAGCGCTCTCCGGGGATGGGCAGGTCGCGACGACTGCCCTGGGTCAGGTGCAGATACAGGCCCGTAGCAGGGCCTCCCTTGTGGAGCTGGCCCGTCGAGTGCAGGTAGCGCGGCCCGTAGCCTGCGGTGGTGGCGATGTGGCATTGCTGCATTACGCGGGAGCGAAGCTCCTGCAGCAACTGATCGCACTCTGCGTCGACTGGCATGTACGAAATTATGGCGAAGTAGTCTCCTCGGTTCACCTGCCGAAGCAGGGAGGTAACGGAGCCCGAGATCTCCTGTTCAGGCAGGGCACCTGCGCGCAGATGAGCCTCAAGGAGCCGGTCGGTGTTGTCCTTGGCGCCCTGCACATCGGGCTGATCAAAGGGATGAACGTCCAGAATTGACCCAGCGACGGCCGTGGCGTATTCCCAGCGAAAGAACTCTGCGCCCAGATCGGCGCAATCGCGGGCCGGGATGCGTGCCACTGGATGCCCCTCCTGCTGAAGGCGATCAACGGCTGCAGAAATTTCATCACAGCCGGGCGTCTCGAGGAATACGAAGAGGCGGTCGTCGCCATAGCAGTCGGGTGCGAGGAGCGGTTCGTCGGCCACGGGTACGATTCCGCGCCCCTCCTTGCTCAGGCTTTCCGCAATCATCTGCTCCACCCAGAGGCCGAACCCCTCGATGGATGGAGGAGCAATCAGTGTCACCTTGTCGCGGCCCGCCAGCGCGGCGGAGCCAAGCAAAGCGCCCAGCTGGAGGCCGGGATTTTCCTCGGAACCGTCGAGACACTGATCCCGCATGGATGCGGCGCTGCCGAGGAGATGTCTAACGTCAATCCCTGCCAGGGCGGCGGGAACCATGCCGAACCAGGACAGGACCGAATAGCGGCCACCTATGTCGGCCGGGTTCAGGAACACCCGGCGGAAACCCTCTTCGGAACCCAATCGCTGGAGGGGCGTGCCCTCATCGGTGATGGCGACGAAGTTCGCTCCGGCGCTTTCGCGAGACAGTGCTTCATCCGCAAGGCCGCGGAAGTAGCGGTAGAAGGAGAGGGTTTCAATGGTGCCACCGGACTTGGAGGAGACAATGAAAATTGTTCGCGCCGGATCTATGGAGTTAGCAACTGCCGAGATCTGGCCGGGGACGGTGGAATCGAGCATGGTGAGCCGTGGGTAGCCGTCGACGGGGCCGTAAGAGCGCCGCAGGACCTCTGGCCCCAGGCAGCTTCCACCCATGCCAAGAAGCACAACATCCTGGTAGCCTTCAGATCGGACTTGGCCGACGAAAGCGTCGAGGTCGCCAAGGTTCGGGCGCAGAAACTCTCCCGCGTCCAGCCAGCCAAGGCGGTCGACTATCTCGCGAGGATCGGGTCGCCAGACCGTGTGGTCCCGCTCCCTGATTCGCTGAGGAACGCGCCGCTCAACAAGGCCGTTGAGGAATCGCCTCGCCGCCTCGGACGTGGCCGGATCGCCGGAGACCAGACCATCGAGCGGCTCGCTCAAAATTAACCGCCGTTAACCAGATTACGGGCTTCCTCTACAACGCGGGCCGCGGTGAAACCAAACTGCTCGAGGAGAACGCCACCGGGGGCGGAAGCGCCGAAGGTGGACATGCCGATGGATGCTCCGTCCAACCCCACGTAGCGGGCCCAACCATTGGTTGCGCCTGCTTCGACGGAAAGGCGCGTCCGATTTGAGGGAGGCAGCACCGCGTCGCGGTATTCCTTGGGCTGTTCGTCGAACAACTCCCAGGATGGCATGGACACCAGCCGGGTAGCGATGCCTTCGGAATCCAGCGTGCGCGCCGCCTCCAGCGCTGTGTGGACCTCGGCGCCGGTGGCAATGATGATGACCTGCGGGTCGGAGCCTTCAGATTCCCAGAGGGTGTAACCGCCTCTCGACGCATCGTGAGCCGGCGCCAGGGTTTCCCGGTCCAGCACCGGCAGGTTCTGGCGGCTGAGAGCGAGAGCGGTGGGCCCCTCAGTCCGCTCCAATGCGGCCTGCCAAGCGACGGCAGTCTCGGTGGCATCGGCGGGGCGGATCACAACAAGCCCCGGCATCGCGCGCAGAGACATCAGATGTTCCACGGGCTGGTGCGTCGGCCCGTCTTCCCCCAGGGCGATGGAGTCGTGGGTGAAGACGTATATCACCCGCTGCTCCATCAGGGCGCTGAGCCGCAACGCGGGCCGCAGGTAATCGGAAAAGATCAGGAAAGTGGACGCATAGGGGATGGCGCCCCCGTGGACGGCGATGCCGTTGGCGACCGCTCCCATAGCGTGTTCCCGGACGCCGAAGTGCAGGTTGCGGCCATCGAAATTTCCGGGGCCGATGTGGCCTTCGCTGTTCAGAATGGTGAGGGTGGACGGCGCCAGGTCGGCGGAGCCGCCGATCAGGTTGGGAACAGCATCGGAGATGGCATTCATCACCTTACCCGAGGCTTCCCTGGTGGAGATCGCTCTGCCGTCATCGAACAAACCGGAAAGTCCGCTGCTCCAGCCGGGGGCCAACGCACCGTTCAGTGCGTCCTGCAGCCTGAGAGCTTCCGATGGGAAGTTTTCACGGTAACTGGAAAGCGTATTGTCCCAGTCGCTTTGCTGCCCACGTCCTCTCTCGACCGCCTTGGTCAGATACTCCCTGACCTCTCCCGGCACAGTGAAGCTTTCGGGATAGGGCCAGTGGAGCTGCTCACGTGTCAGGGCCACCTCATCGTCCCCCAGCGGTGCGCCGTGAACACCTCCGGTTCCGGCCTTGTTAGGGCTGCCGTATCCGATCACAGTGCGGCAGACGACGAGGCTGGGCCTGCTCGTATCGGCGCGGGCGTCGTCGATGGCTGATGCCACTGCGTCAATATCGTTGCCGTCGATGCTTTCCGTCACCTGCCAGCCATAGGCTGTGAAGCGACGGGGCACGTCCTCGAGGAATGCTATGTCGGTGTCGCCTTCGATGGAAATCTGGTTGTCGTCGTAGATCAGAATCAGCTTGCCCAAGCCCAGCGTACCCGCAAGGGATGCGGCCTCTGCTGCCACGCCCTCCTGCAAGTCACCGTCGGATACGATGGCGTAAGTGTAGTGGTCGATAATGTCATGCCCGGGGCGGTTGAACCGGGTGGCCAGCCAACGTTCGGCGAGCGCCATACCTACGGCGTTGGCTAGGCCTTGGCCGAGGGGGCCGGTGGTGACTTCGACTCCGGGCGTGAGACCGTACTCGGGGTGGCCCGGGGTCCTGCTGCCCCACTGCCGGAACTGCTTCAGTTCCTCGATGGGCAGGTCGTAGCCGGTGAGGTGGAGCAGGGAATACAACATGGCAGAAGCGTGGCCTGCAGAGAGGACAAAACGGTCCCGATCAGGCCACTTGGGGTCTGTGGGATTGTGCTTGAGGAAGCGGTCCCATAGAACGTAGGCCATTGGAGCCGCGCCCATTGGAGCGCCGGGGTGGCCCGAGCGCGCGTTCTGGACGGAATCGATGGCCAAGAAACGTAGGGTGTTGATACACAGTTGGTCGAGAGCCGAATCGGTCAACGCTTTCCCCTGCAGTCGCGGCTGGAGTCGGCTCCGATGCCGCGTTGAAGTGTCACATCAGTCCCTCGCGGAGGACCTGCCGGAAACACGCTCCGACACCGAGTATGGTATCCAATAGAGTCGGATATGTCATCCACCGAAGGGCAGGAATCTTGGCTCAGTGGAGCAGTTGCTGCATGGCCTGGAAGAGCAAGACAAGCGGGGGTGGTTAATCCAGGGCTATTCGCTGTCTTAAGAACGACAGAGGCGGAAAAGAGTCGGGGAAAATAACAGGGGCGAATGATAGTAGCTATGGACGGGGACTACGGTATGGGAGGTTCGCCGAGAATGGCTTCAGTTTCCAGTTCAGAGTTGCCGCGGTAGATGCTGACGGTGACCTGCTCACCGGGCAGTTTCTCGAGAAGGAACTTTGAGAGGTCGCCGGTATTGCGAATATTCTGCCCGCCCAGGGCCACGATGACATCTTCGCCCTGCAGCCCCGCGGCGTGGGCCCCCGAATTCTCGACGACGCGGGCAACCAGGATACCCTCGCTTACGGGCACTCCGATCTGTGCGGCAATGGCCGGGGTGAGGTTCACGGGGGCGATGCCGAGGAATCCACGCTCGACGTATCCCTTTTCAATTAGTTGCTCAGAAACCGCCAGGGCATCGTCGATGTTGATGGCGAAACCGATGCCTTGGCCGCCCTGGATGGCGGCGGTGTTAACGCCTATGACCTCGCCGAATCGATTGACCAGCGGGCCTCCGCTGTTTCCCGGGTTGATGGAGGCGTCGGTCTGGATCAGGTCGACGTAGGTATCCTGCGGACCGGCATCAATGGAGCGTCCGAGGGCGCTGATGACGCCCCTGCTTACAGTGGGGCCCCCCAGACAGAGCCAGGGCATGGCCGATGGCGATGACATCCTCGCCGACGCGTAGATCGGCGGCGCTGCCAGTGCGGGCGGGCTGCAGCCCCGATGCGTCTATCTTGATGATCGCGACGTCCGGATTCGACTCGCCGCCCACCAACTGGCCGAGGTAGCTCTCCCCGTTGTCCAGCGTGATGGTATGGCTATGGCGTCGACTATCAGGTGATTGCTGGTGAGGATGTACCCGTCATCGTCGAGAATGATGCCCGTCCCGACACCAGCCGTGGGGTCAACCAAGCGGGAGGGGGTTCCCGCCGCCGTCTCGGTGAACACATGGACGACGGAGGGCGTCAACTCACGGACGATATCGACCGTGGCAAGTCCCGAGTATGATTGTTCGCCTGCAGCAATGGGGGTACGTGGCGAATCTCCGTCGCACGCGACGCCGACCAGCCCCGCAGCAACCAGCAAAAGGGCGGGCAGGAAAAGCCAGCGCCCAATCAGGGCCAATGGCCCGGCCAGTTCGCTGGCCGGGCCGTTACCTGCGTAGGTGCTGTTTCGCAAGGTCATTGATGGGCCAGGGCCATCAGAGAATTGGCGAGAAGCATAGCCCTGGAACAGGAAATGCCTAGCTCGCCCCGTTTCCGAGGGCGGGAAAGATGTGGTCCCTGAAGGCTTCCATCTCTCCGGTGGCGAACTCGTAGGTGGCGCTGGTCATCAGGTACAGGTGGGTGAGGCCATCCTTCTCTGCCTTCTTGACCCGCTCGGCGCAATACTCCGGGGTGCCGATAAGCCCCATGTAGTCGCAGATGGCCGCGAGGGCATCGTCGGGAAGGAAGGAGCACAGCTCCTGGGCCTTTTCCCAGTCTTCGGCGTGGGGAACGTCGGGGTAGAGGTCCCACAGGCCGGCGGGCAGCTCGAGGTCGCCGATGTCGATGCCAGCAGCCTTCAGCCAGCGGTGGTAAGTCTGTTCCATCAGCCGGGAGACGGCGAGCGGCCGCGCGATTTCCCGGGCCTCCTTGAGGTCGTCCTTGATTATGGTGGTGGCGGTGAAGATGGTCTCAACATCGTCGGGGTTGCGGCCGGAGGCGCGAGCCCCATCGGCGATGAGCTCGCGTGCCTCGGCAACCGCTCCGGGATGGATGCCGGTCATGAGCAGTGCGCCATCGGCAACCTCTCCGGCTACCTTCATCACGCGCGGGCCGGTGGCGGCGATGTAAACGGGCGGTGCGGGAGCCTCGCCTCCGTGGCGCATTCGGCTCTTGGCCTCGCCGAAGGAGACCATGTCTCCCGACATCAGTTCTTTCATCGTGACAATGGAGTCGCGCATCTGGCGGACGGTGGCCGGGGGGATGCCGATGGTGGCAGTGGAGCTGTAGCCTCGTCCGATCCAGACCTGCACGCGGCCGGGGGCCAGTTCCGCGACGGTCTGGGCCGCGGAGGCAACGACCGACGGATGGCGCGTGGCAGGATTGGTAACAGCAGAGGCGACGTTGATGTGATCAGTGGCCTGGACCGCCGCAGCCATGCTGACGAAGCAGTCGCGCTCCAGCAGCTGTGAATCAAGGATGCCGACGCCGTCGAAACCGGCGTCTTCGCATTGCTTTACAAAGTCGGCCACCATTGGCAACGGCTTGCAGGGCGGTACCCGTAGATCGATCTTGATGGACATTGTTCTCTCCTGATTTTTTTGGATAACCTGATACTGTTTACGGTCTGACAGCCATTCGAGAGAATGACGCTTAGTTGCAGAAACGACGGTAAAACAGGCGCGTTTTGGAGTTAGTCAGGCACTGCCAATGGTACCCGCAAGTTTCCAGCCAGCGACGCCTTACCTCGTTAGTTCTTCGCGTAGGCGGCGGATGACAACTTCGACCTCAGCTTCGGTGAGATTGAGAGGGTCGACCGCCAGTTCCTGAGGGCCGCCGAGCTGGTGCAGATAGATCTGGGGGTTGCCGTGCTCCATTGCCGCAGCGACGGCGTCGCGGCTGGGGCCGCGCCACTCTCCGGTGAAGCGAATGACGGCGTGGGGAATGAGGTAATTTATGCCATCGTGCTCAAGGCTGACGCGCAGGCCGGGTATCTCTACAAGGGCGTCCATCGCCTGCTGCACCATGGCACGGTAGGCGGCCATCTCGGTGGTCTCGTCCTCCTCTACGAAAGCGGCCAGGGAGGCAACGAGGCCGATGACTTCTTCCTTGGCGACCTTCATGCCCCTGCCGAGGAATTGGGCGGGACTGGCCGATGACATGGCAGACGGCCTCATGAGAGGTCGGACGACGGCCCACGAGGATGCCACAGCATGGGGCCGCGATGCCCTCGCACTGTAGACCACCATGTCGGCGCCGGCGCGAAGGTAGGTAGAGGTTTGCGCGAGGCGGAAGCATGGACGCGGCATCGACTATGACGGGAATGTCGTGTGCGTGAGCAATCTCACAGACCTGATCGAGGGGCATAACTTTGTTGCTGGAAAAAGGGGCGCAAAGGTAGGCAACGGCGGCAGTGCGCTCGTTGATTGCGCCTTCAAGCTGCCAGGGGTGGGCAAATAGGTAGTCGCCGAACTCCACCATTTTCGCCCCCGCAGCCCGGTAAGCCTGATCGTAAGGGAAGCGGTGCATGGTATGTATGACGATCTCGTTCTTCATGCCCTCGGTATTGGGCAGCTGACGCATCTTCACGGGATCGTGGCCGGCGATACAGGCAGCCGCCTGAAGCAGCAGGCCTCCGGCCGCACCGCTGCACACGAACCCGGCCTCGGCGCCGGTGAGGCGGGCGATCTCACTGCCTGCAGCGCGGTTCAGGTCGTCGATGTTGACCATAACGCGGGCCGCCTGGGTCATGAGCTCAAGGGTCTCGGGGCGGGTGCGGCTGCCGCCGAGCCGGGTGATGGAGCCCGCGGCATTGATGATGGGCGAAATTTCAAGGCGCTGGTAAATGGATTTCGCTACGGGACTTAGATCGTTCGCGTTGTCGGCCACGTTCTCCTCCTGTCGGCGTCCCAACCTCGCTGGCCCCTGTGGCCTATCAGACAGGACATTGCGGCCATTATATCAATCGGTATGGGCCGATGTGATAACATTCGGATGGCCCACAACCACCCACAGCCAACGCCTCAAATTAAGGGAAAGAGCGGCGATTTATGCCAGAAAACAGCGTTATTCTCGAGGGACTTTCGCCCAAGGCCAAGATCGGGCTGGTGGTGGTCAGCGCGTCGATGGTATCGGAGCTGCGCTACCCCCGGGCCGTCCCCGACGTGGGATTCCTGACCAGCCGGATGATGCTGGGCGGAGATAACGGGCTGGAAGCGCTGCTGGAAATGGAGAAGAGCTCGTCGCGGGCCGTTCAGGAACTGGCATCGGCGGGCGTTGATTCCATCGCCTACTGCTGCACTGTCAGCGGGGCACAGCGAGGGCTGGAGAAGGACCGCGAGTTCTGCGCCGATATGGAGCGGGAGTTCGGGGCACCGACCACGTCGACAATGCTGGCCGCCGCGGAGGCGCTGCAGCATTTGGGGATACGCCGGGTGGTGCTGACCAGCCCTTACCCGCACAGCTACCACGTTGCAGAGAACCGGTACCTGGCCGAAGCCGGGATAGAGACGGTGTATGCGGCAGGGATGGGATTCCAGACCGCCGCCGAGTTTGCCGCCGTTACGCCAGACGAGATCTACCGGTTCGCGCTGGATGCGTGGCAGAACAGCGGGAGCGAGGCGGACGGCCTGTTCGTCAGTTGCATGAATTTCGACGCAATGGCAGCGACGCAGGCTCTGGAGGATGCCATCGGAAAGCCGGTGGTGACGTCGCACACGGCAACGCTTTGGCGGGCGCTGGCGCTGGCAGGCATTGATGAGCCGGTGCCGGGATACGGTCGGCTGCTGGCAGAGCGGCGGGAATGCCGTGTTACCGTTGCCGCATAACACTTGAATCTGGAGAGGTGGAGAATGACCACTGCGGAACGTCTGAACGCAATTCCCCTGGGTGAGGCGATGTTCACCCAGCGGGCCATTCGCCGGTTCAAAAAGGACCCGATTCCCGACGATGTCCTCGAGGACATCATGCAGGCCACCATTCGCGCACCCAACGGCGGCAATACCCAGCCGTGGCGGTTCATCGTTTGTGAAGGACGAAGAAAAGCGCCGGAAGCTGGGAGAGCTTTACCATGAGGCGTGGTGGGCCAAGCGGGCCGACGTAGGCATCATGGGCCCCGAGGATCTGCCGCCAGGCAAGAACAGCATGCAATCCGCGAGGCGCTTGGCCAACGAGATCGGCAACACACCCGTCATGGTGCTTATCTGCGCCACGGCCAAGGGCGCGCAGGCCGCAGCTTCGGTCATCCCGTCGGCACAGAACATGCTCCTGGCGGCGCGGGCGTTCGGCATCGGGGGGACCATCACCACGCTGCATGCGGTGGTGGAAGAGCGAGTCCACGAACTGTTCGGCATCCCCGGCGACGCGCAGTTGGTCTATTGCATGCCGCTGGGCTACCCCCGAGGGGAATTCGGGTCGGTGCAGCGCAAGCCACTGACCGAGGTGTGCGGCGTGGACGGCTGGAGCAACAGCTATCCCGGGTAAAAATTCACTGAGGCGAATGCCGGACTCCCTGAATGTCCGGGATTGATACGTCCCTGCGGGCTGGAGAAAAATATGCCGCCGCAGGGACGTGGCTGTTTCCGGGGGAAACACCGACTCGAATTTGAGGACGATTCCATGGCAGTTCGTACTGGAGAGCAGTTCCTGGTGGGGCTGCGGGACGACCGGGAGGTATGGCTGGGAGGCGAGAGGGTGGCCGACGTCACGTTTCATCCCAAAATGGCCCGAATGGCGCAGACCCTGGCCGGGATTTACGATCTGCAGCACTCGCCTGAATTCCGGGAGCGGATGACCTTCACCTCTCCCACGAGTGGCGAGCCGGTGGCGCTGTCGTACCTAGTGCCGGAAACCCAGGATGACCTGACAAGGCGCCGGGGAGCGCTGGAGATCGTGGCGGAGTCGTGCCACGGGATGCTTGGGCGGACACCGGATTATGTCAACATTCAGTTGACCGCTTCGCGGCAGTTGTCGGCCATCTTCGGGGAGAAGGACCCCAGGTTTAGCGCCCATCTCAGGGAGTATCACGAGTACGTGCGGGAGAGGGACCTGTGCCTGACCCACGCCTGCGGGCACCCGCAGGTCAACCGCTCAGTGGGACTGTCGGAACTGCCGGACCCGTATATCGCGGTCGGCGTGGTAGATACGTGCGCCGAGGGAGTGGTTGTCCGCGGGGCAAAGAACCTTGCGACGCTGGCACCGTTTTCCGACGAGATTTTTGCGCCCCTGTACCGCCCGCTCCGGCCCGACGTGGAGGAGGATCGGAAGTACTGCATCGGGTTCTCGGTGCCCTCGAATATCAAGGGGTTGAAGTTCATCTGCCGGCCTTCCCACGACTTGGGAGAGCCACTGGGGGACTATCCGCTGTCGGGGCAGTTCGACGAGATGGACTCGCTGGCGGTGTTCGACGACGTGATTGTGCCGTGGGAAAGGGTGTTCCTGCTTGATGACGTGGATTTGGGCAATCGGACAGTTACGCAGGTCGCGCTGTGGCGCCACTACATGCAGCAGGTGGCGGTCAAGAACATCGCCAAGCTGGAGTTCATCCTGGGCATCGTTCGCGGGATCACGGAAGGGATTGGCATCGGCGTGTACGGGCACGTGCAGGAAAAGACTGCGGAGATCATAGACACCATCGAAACGTGCCGGGCCTACATGCGGGCTGCGGAGGCGGACGCTGTGCCCCTGGAGGGGGCGGAGGGCATCTGGCCCGCGCCGGAGCCATGGATCGCCATGCGACACTGGTACCCGGATGCCTACGCGCGGGTGGTCGCCATCGTGCAGCAGCTTGCGGCCAGCGGGCTGATGCTCACCCCTAACGAGGCCGACCTGGCCAGCTCCTTGGCAGCAGACATTGCCAAGTATTACCAGGCCATGACCATGGCCGCCCCGGAGCGGGTGCGGCTGTTCCGGCTGGCGTGGGACCTGATCGGTACGGAGTTCGGTTCGCGTCAGACGCTGTACGAGCGCTTCTTCAACGGCGACGTGGTGCAGTTGCGGATACGGCGGTACGCGCAGTACGACTACTCGAGGGCCGAGGAGTCAGTGCGACGGTTCATGGGGGAGGTGTACGGTGATTTGGCGGACCAATGAGGTGCTCGCTTTGCCTGGAGACCCGAAGGCTTTTCGGAGGTGCGAACCCTTCCTCTATGCGAAAAACGGAATTTTACCAATTCCATGCACCTATTTCGTCAAGAGAACTGAAGTGCCTTTATTGTGTTTGGTAATAGGCGATATTATACTGCACGCACTTCAGTTGACCCCGATGTTTATCCCCATTTGAGCTGAGGTTATGCTATGGCCATGCAGTTTTGTCCCCACTGTCAGCGGGACGTAAGACCTGACAAGGCATTCGGCTGGCTGCCGTTCATATTCTGTTTCGGCGTGTTCTACTGCATTTACTATGCCTTCGTGAAGAAACCGCGCTGCCCGATTTGCGGTGGGGAGCAATTCGGGTCCCACAGTCCGTAGTGAACCGGCCCCGCCGGTTGCCCAAACTGCTGTATTTCGCCCTGTCGCACCATTACGAAGGGCGCATTAGTCGAACATTCTCAATTCGATTCCGTGGTTGGGAACAGCAGTTCTGCACACGGTGCACGGCTCAATGGGCGTCTTTCTGCAGTTTCGGTTGCGTCCTGTGGTTCTACAGCTTTGACCCCGGGAACCTGTTGTGGGCTGCAATCTTGGCCATGCTTCCCCTGCCAGCCATGGTTGATTGGTTGACGCAAAGCTGGGAACTACGGGACAGCACGACAGTAAACAGGGTTGTGACGGGGTCAGCGCTTGGCGCGGGCTACGCCCTGGAATTGCTGGCCATCATCAATCTGGATTTCGCAAAGGCCCTGCTAGGCTTGGGCGTTTATGTCGGCTACATGCTGGCGCTGCTGGCCCTCCTTAAAATCAGGCCATTCTCTTCTGACGTCTTCGGCTAGCCGCCGAAGAGGTCTTTGATGCGGTCTAGGAAGCCGCCTCGGCTGGCTCCGCGCTCCATGAATCGGGCCCACTGCTGCTCGGCGGATTCGGAGCGGCGGAGGTCGCGGGCTCGCTCCTTCATGAGGTCGAGGACGCGATCCTCCTCCCCCTTGTCCAGCCAATAGCCGTGTTCGTCGGGGCAGTGTTCGATCTGGAGGTTGTGGGCGCGGTAGTTGAAGACGTCCATGGCCGAGCTGCAGTGAGGGCAGGGCCGTTCCCCGGAACGCCGGGCATACTCACGCATTCCCTTGAGGATTTCGTCCTTGTTGGCAGAGTCCTCGAGCATGTCCAGTTCGTTGAAGTCCAGCCAGAGACCCCGGCACTCGGGGCAGTGGTCGACTTCTATGCCGCGAAATTTTTGCTCGTCCAAGGCTACATTACAAGCGGGGCAGTTCATTATCAGTGCTCCAATTCAGTGGGACCTTGCCTCTTGGTGAAAGCGGAACCCAATCAGCATAGCATACGGCGCTCGTTCAATTGGTTCCCGTCGCCAAACGGGAATTACATCTCACTGGGGGATCAGACGGGCGTAACCGGCGTTGGGATTTCGACCTCGACCTCAATTTCCTTGAAAGTGACTGATAGCGTGGGAGTGTCTTCCCCGAACTGAGCAAGAGTCTTCAGCTCCCCTTCAGTGAGAGGCTCGCCATGGTGGGCAATCGCCTCCTCCAGAGACATACTTCGCTCGGGGAGAGGGTCGCCGTATTCCAGCATAACCTCGATATGTCCGGTGATGGCCTCCTGAATCATTTCCAGCATCTTCTCCCAAGTCTTGCCAGTGCTGACGCAACCGGGCAGGTCAGGTACATAGGCGGAATAGTTATCCGGCCCTTGCTCAAAAACCACGACGTATTTCAGCCTCACCGGTTTCTCTCCTGTAGTCCCGCCTGTCTCAAGATGCTTCGCCAAGTCTTAATTTTCAGGTCTTCGCCGGGATGTCCGGGTATAGTAACCGTCCCTGGCTTTGCCGGGTGGTGAAAATGGCGATGGCTCCCTCGAGCACGCACCAGACTCCAACCATCATCCTCCACCATGCGAATTGCGTCCCTGACTTTCGGCAATGGTTTAGCTCATGACGCGGCGGAAGAACTCCATGGCGTTGCCGCCGATGATCTTTCGGACGTCCTCGTCGGAGTGGCCGCGGCGGATGAGGCCGCGGACTATGTTGCCGCCGTCGGCGGGAGACTCGAGGCCGTTGAGAGTAGGGTGCGGGCAACTGGTCGGGGCCATCGCGGCCCATCACCACGCGGTGGAAAGGCGACGTGGTCGCCGATGGTGGTGTCGGTGCCGATGCCCACGTGGTCCACGCCCACGAGGTGGACCATGTAGTCGTAGTGGTCAAGGACGCACTCGATGTCCTGTTCGGGGTCGTCGCTGAGCGAGTTGGGGACGGCGGTGATGCAGATGAGGCCGCCGTTCTCGGCACAGGCGGTCAGCTCTCGTCGCGGCGGGTGCGACGGTTGGGACGCAACGCGTAGGCAGCGTTGTGGCTGAATACCACTGGCACACGGGAGAACTCTATGGCGTCGAGGGCACTGGGCGTGGAGACAGTGGGACAGGTCGATGGCCATACCGAGGTCGTTCATGCGGCGGACGACTCGATGCCGAAGTCGCTGAGACCACCGGGGTTGCGCTCGTTCATGCCGTCGCCGATGTAGTTGCGGCGGTTGTAGGTGATGCCGGCCAGGCGCACCCCCATGCTGTAGAGCTGCTCGAGGCGTTCGATGCGGTTTCCGATGGGCAGGTGTTCCAGGGTGGGCATGAAGCCGACGTTGCCCTGCTGCTTGGCGGCCTCGATGTCGGCAGCGTTGCCGACGCGGGTGATGCCATCCTGCGACGCCACATCGGCAACCATGTTGCCAACCTCCGCGGCCACGTCGTCGTATTCGACGAAGGACATGTCGGCGGTGCTCTTCAGGCCAGCGAAGACGTTGGCGGTGGTGATGGCAGTCCATCCTCCGGCGCGGGCGGCCTCATAGCCCCATTCGTAACGACCGATACGGACGAGGTCGACTAGCTGCTCCATCACTTCGGGGAGGACGAAGGGGTGCTGATGAACGTCAATTGTGATGGCGTCTTCCGCTATGGTCTGGTAACGGACCTCTTCGGCGGCGTCAAGAGGAACCACCGATGACGGGACGCGACCGACCTGTCGGGCCAATGGAATTCCTGCAGCCATGTCAATTCTCCGCCGCGTTGGATTTATTCAGGGATGGACAAACTTCGGGAAGGGCGCACGGCTGGTGCGACCCTATAGGGTATTGGAGCGATCAGTTGACAGAGATGGGCGCGCCGGTGCCGCCGGTCTGCTCGTTGACCAGGAATGTGGCTAGGTCGCGACCGTACACGGTTTCCAGCTCGGCGTCGAAACGCTGGCCGCCAATTCCGCCCATTATCTCGTAACGGCCCTCGGTAAAGAGCCTGCCCTCGTAGCTGTCGTGTTTGACATTCCGTTCTGGCTCTCCCGGCGAGATACATCTCCACTGCCTGCACCATCAGCTCGTGGAACTCCTCTGAGTTAAGGTAGTTGGCAGATCGCAGGAACACGTAGCCCCAGCGGATGCCGCGATGTTCCATCATCATGGCGCGGCCTCGCAGTATGCGCAGGCAGGGTCAAAGGCGTGGTTAGCTGGCATTGGTCTCCGAGTGAACGCAATTTATGTGCTGGGAAAAACTGTATGCAGAAGCCGTTGGTTCGTCAAGGTTCCGGGCCTCGGACGGCAGACTTACTCATCGGGTGGACGAGTAAGCCGCCAGCCGGACGGCCGCACAGCCCGGGATTCCCGCTTCCGCTTTTCGCGAGAATACCTCACGATTATAAGGGGTTGACTGGGGCCAACCACGTCAACTGGAACGTCATTGCACCCCCTACATGCCAACGGGATACCAAGATAGTCGACGTGAAAGCTACTCGGGTATGCCAAGGGCTTTTCGCACCGCTGTACCGATGGGTGTCAGCGGGCTTTCTTCGGGAGGGCCGTGGGAAACCATCCGGTTATGCTGGATGGCAACCGCCAGCCGGTGCTGGGGATCCGCCCAGCCCAGGCAACCGCCAGCCCCGTTATGTCCGAAAGCAAGAGGGTTGCTGCCCATCGCTCCCATGCCGGGGCTGCCCGCGAAGTGCAATCCTCCAATCGTGCCGTTATGGGGCTTGCCACTTACTTGGTCGTAATCGCTGGGGGGACGGGGTCAAAAAATGTGGCAAACAGCCCGACCCGGTCCCTCGACAGCGGCGCACGCCGTCCAGTGTTTTCGCGCCCCGCCGTGTGGGCCCAGCAGGCGTAAGAACCGGCTGGCTACGCGCGCCATTCATGAGTTCCCCTGTGCGGGCAATTTCGCAGCCTGCGCGCACATACCGAACGTCCAAACACCTCCTGGGTGGTGGCGACCTCGGGCGGAGTGGCCCGCGGCCGCAGCGAGTTCGCGGAAGGTTACTCTCCCGGGCGCGGAGAATCCCGGCGGGCAAGTTAGTGAAGCTGGCCTGACCCTCGGCTCGACCCCTTTCGGGTTTGGGTAATGCCGCCCACAGGGTCGGTGATGCCCCGTGTGGGGCTGGCCAAGATTTTTTCCTTTCCTGGATGAAAACTGTCGGCGAAGGCCCTGGTTCATTGGATTCGGTTAAACACGGCCGCACGACCCTCGCCCACCAACCAAGCCCCAAAAAGTGTAAGGCAATGTAAAAAGCCGCTTTGGCCGAGTGCCCCGGCTCGAAAAGGGATGCACAATTTCTCGGCCGATCTGCCCCGTCCCAGCATCCGCAGTCGCACATCAGCTCCGGCGTAACCCCCACGGGCATCAGGGGAACCCCGATGCGGTGGGTCAACGCATCGAACACCGTGCCCTTGTCCTTGCCGTACTTGCCGAATTCAGGCCAGTATCTGGCCACCGGCTGGTAGTAGTCCACCAGACCCCGTTCCGCCTGAATGTGGAGCGCTGTCGCCGTCATCGCCTTTATGTTGGAAAACACCGGGAAGAGGGTGTCCCCGTCGACCTCACGGCCAGTGGTCTCATCAGCCAAACCGCCCCACTGGTCGATCACCAGCTCGCTGTCCAGGTAGGCCGCGACCTGGACTCCGATTTCTCCGCGCTCTCCGATGGCGATGTCGATGGCTTCCTGCACG